AAGAAGAGAGAGAAGAGGCAGAGAAGTAAGAGAGGATGAGAAAGAAAGAGAGGGAAAAGAAGGGAAGAAAGTGAGATAAAAGAGGAGGAGAGGAAAAAGGAGATGGGAAGGTAGGAAAGAGAGAAAAAGAGGGATAGAAGAGACAGAAAGGGAGAGAGAAAAAGATGAGAAAAAGGAGAAGAAAGGAAAAAGGGGAAGAGAGACGAGAGGAAAGAGGAGGGAGAACGGAGACAAGGAAGAAGGTGAGGGAGAGGAGAGACAGGAGAATAAGGGATAAGAGGAGAGCAAAGTTTTAACTTGGGAGTGGCCAACCTTGTGCTCAGACTTATTACATAGCTTTCCCTTGTTTCCTCACCTTTCCCAATCCCCAAGGTCAGAAGATTTCCTCCCAGGGCTTAGTTGGCAGGAAAATGACACTGATCCCAACTGCACCAATTAAATTCGACATATTCAATTAAACAAATATTTAAGTGCCTACCATGAAAAAAGTCCTATGCTCCTTCCTAGGGACAAATAATGACAAAGGAACTTAAATTCTAATGGAGGAAAGACATGTACAAAAATTATGATACAAGGCAGAATAAGCTAAGTGTAAAGGTAAGAACTAAGCAAAGCGCTAGGAGAAATTGGTTTTCCTCCTTAACTCTCTCTCTTCCTTCTTTCCTTTCTCTCTCTCTCCTCCCCTCTCTCTTCTTCCCTCCCTCTCTCTTCTTTCTCTCTCTCCTTCCCTCCCTCTCTCCTCTTCTTCTCTCTCTCTCTTCCCAGCTTTAGTTCCCCTTTTTTAAGGAACAAGCTCTGTTTTAATATTAGATTCCCTTCCCCTCTTCCCCATATTCATACCGTACTTGCAAATTCCTTCCTGATGAATGGCTTTTTGAGAAATAAACACGTGTATCTGATGCCTTCTACAATCTGGTTCTAACCTACCTTGCTGGCCATCTCTTTTGCTACTGTCCTCCTCCCTTCTCTAGTCTCTCTAACTTTGATCATCCCGTATCTCATACCTGGATCAGATCCTCCAGCAGCGCCCCACTCCCCCCACCAAGTTGTCTTCCAACTACATTTCTTGAAGCCTATCTCTCCCTTCAATTCCATGAGCCTTCCCAGCTGAAATGTGACCTCTCCCACAAACTTCTCAGGTCAATTTTCTTGTATCTCTCCTTTGCATCTGGATGGGCTTTACTGCTGAGAAGGACCTTAGGGCTGATCCGGCACATCCCTATCATTTTTGCAGCAGAGACGCAAGCATTTTGTGCCCCTACCCAGCTTGAGAGCTCCCTGAGAAACTTTGTATTCCCAGCATAGGAGATGCTTCATGTTTGTTGAGTTAGATTAAAAAGAAAATTTCTAGGAACCCTTAATGTTTTACCAGTCCCTGTCTCTGGAGGCTGTCAAGGCCAAAAAAAAAAAAAAGCCTCCCTATTTAGCTCCATTCCCGGGCTCTCAGGTGCCACCAGTCACTCACAGCCTCAGCTCCTCATCTGCTTTTTCTGATAGAAGTGCTCTGGACCACCCACTCCTACTCCCCATTTCCAGCATGGGCTGTACTTACTTCTTATTTCAGACCCCTCTGGTGATGCTAGGTATGTTTCTAGGTAAAAATACCCTGCTCTTGGTCAGAGAGCTCAGGAGACAATAGAAGATTCCTGGAGCTGGGCTGGGCTGAACCTTAAATCCAGCCAGGATGTCTTAGAAGAGCCAATGAACACCTCCTGCCACTGTCTTAGCCTAAGCGGCTCTGCTTCTGGCTCTGCTTCTAGCCCTGCTGGTCTTATCCCTAAACCTCTCAGGGGTAAGTCATCACCAGCTTTTAAAAAGCCTGCTCCTCTCCACCTGCTGAACTCTTTTTCTTGCCGAATTCCCACCCCAAAAATGTGAAGTGAGTTCTTTCTCCTCAAATTGTCCATTTGTCCAGGTCTCTCCTTTGCCCCCATCACATTCTGCCTTGTAGTATGTTTATTCATTTAATGTTGCATAATATTGTATATCCCCACCCCCATTAGACTGTGACACTTTTCATTTTTGCACCCTTAGAATCTTTGAACTTGGTAGGTGTTTAATAAATGTTTGCGGAACTGAATTCATCCATTCAGCAAGTATTTCCTGAGCACTTAATGTGGGCGAGGCACCACAGGAGGGCAGAAAAACGCAACAGATAAATAGTCTCTGAACTCGGGAAGGTTATCATCTAAGAGGGGTAATCAGAAGATGACAGAAGGTCACAGCTGGAAGGGCTTTCAGGATCATCTAGCTCCATCCCCTCATTTTAGAAAGAAAGAAACTGAGGTCCAGAGAAGAGAAGGGACTTGACCGGATCTCAAAGATACTAAGTGACAGAGCTGGGATTCATACCCAGTTTTCTACCTTGGTCCAGGGCTCTTTCCACTATGTGACACATTAAGTAAATAACTACAATCCAAGGGAAGAGGTACATGAGGGGCTAAATGCTAAGTGCCATGACCTGGTGCAGATCGAGAGCTATGGGATCCACCAGGGAAGGCTGAACAAACTGTAGTACATGAATATGATGGAAGGAAATGACCAGTATGACATGAACCAATGCAAAGTGAAGTAAAGAAGGTCAGGAAAACAATATACAAGGACCACAATGACATAAATGGAAAGAACAAACATCACAAAATGAGTCAAGATGAATGAATGCCATGAGACAACACAGGACAAGCCTGGCCCCAAAGGAGAAAGAGGAGAAAACATCCCCTCCCACTGCCCTGTGGAGGAGTACCTCGGGGGTGGAACAGTGAATATGTCCTATCAGTTTTTTTTCAATATAGGATCAGTTTTACTGATTTTCTCCTCCTTCCTTCAAAAGAAAGTACAAGGTATGGTTTTCTGGGAAGGAGGAAAGAGACACAAGGGGAAATCTAGGCAATGTAAATAGAAAAGAGAGCAATAAAAATGATTTAAAAAAACACTAGGACTTCAAAGGACAGAGTTCTATGGGGTGGGTGGGGTTATCAGGCTCTAGGCTTCTTGAAAAAAGATGGTGTTTAGAGTAGGTCTTGAAGGATATATGGGATTTTTTCAAATAAGTAAGGAAAAGAGATAACTCTGAAATTCTATGGTGATTCTCTCTTCATGTGAGGGGGGGCAGCAGTGTGATGGCAAGAACACTCAAACATTCAAGACACCTAGACCCCACTTTACCCAGCATTTTAACAAGCACAGTAGCTAGCAGCAGTGTTTTGGTTTTTTTTAATGTGCATTATCCAATTTTATCTTCATAATCACTCCCTATGAGGTTAAAAAAAATGCCCTGTATTCTGCAGAATGGAAAGAGTATCACCAGAACTCACCTGGTCTTGGCATTATGGAATATTTCCATTAGTCAAAGTCTCATAGAATCTCTGAGCTACAAAGGGCCTGTCCAGAATTGAATGTATTTATTTTCCAGGTATGGAAACATCAGCTCAGAGGGTTTTTAAGGGATCTGACCAAAGACCCAGAGCTAGTTATTAGCAGAGCAAGAACAAACAGCAAATAAGTAACTCAGGTCTCCGTGCTCCCAGCCCAGGGCCCGTGTCACCAAACAAAGCTGTCTCCCCTTTGCAGCACTTTCCAGTTTTTCAAGCATTGTTACGTACGTTCTTTCATTTGGTTAAGATGTCCCTGCAATGGAGAGAAACAGGGCAGGGATGACTCTTCCCATCCGACAGAGGAGGAATCTGTATTAAGCCTGTGACTCTGCCTTTCCAAGCAGTCAGGCCCCACTTGGAGGACCCCGAGCAGAGGGAAGGCCATGTTTCAAATGATTTTTCATTTCACCTGTGATCTGGATATGGCCTTGGATTTCCATATCCCAGGTTTGTTTGGTATTTATTCCTTTAGTCGCTCACATTTCTACAGTGTGTGCTTTCTAATTTACAAAGCCTGGGGGGCATCAAGGTGGTGCAGTAGATAGAGCTCCAGCCTTGGAGTCAGGAAGACCTGAGTTCAAATCTGGCCTCAGACACTTGACACTTACTAGCTGTGTGACCCTGGGCAAGTCACTTAACCCCAATTGCCTCAGCAAAAAAAAAGAAAAAAAAATCTAATTCACAAAGCCTTTTCCTTCTAACCATCTCGTGTAGCAGGTAGAATTCATCTGAATTTCCTCATCAGCTCAATCAGGAGACATTTTCTTTTCTCTGTAAGATAATCCACCCTGCTTGCCATCACCTGATTCCAGAAAAGCTTGCTACTTTGATCATATCATTCTTTTCTACAAAAACATTCAATGGTTTCCTCTTACCCTTCATGTGGTCTCCGAGGTCCCTTATACTTCTAACATTCTCTTATTCCAAACTCCCAAGCCTGACATTCAAGGCCTTTACCATGTGGCTCTAAGATCACTTAAAAAAATTTTTTTTTAATTTTCACATTAGTTATATTGTAAAGAAGAACTAGAACCAATAGGAGGAACCACAAGAAAGGAAGAAAAACAAAACAGAAGAAAAAAAAAGGAACAAATAGTATGCTTCCATCTGTATTCAGACTCCATAGTTCTTTCT